CAAATGTTTATAGTCCCTTAGCACGTACGGACTTGTGCTACAAATGCTTATAATCCCTTAGCACGTATGGACTTGTGCTACAAATGCTTATAGTCCCTTAGCACGTACGGACTTGTCAAGAATGTTATCAAAACCAAAGCTAATACTTGATACACAAAGTAGGGATAGTCATTCATGTTTAACAAATACTTTTCCAAAACAAGCAAGGCAAAGCTTTATTCAAATGTCATAACATAGCGTTATTAAAAATACCACTCACTTAGTTCTTCAAGCGTGGGGTCAAAGCAAGAGTCCAAGTCCTACAAACACATGGCAAAGTCTATTGAATGCACTCTCAAACAAGCTTCACATGAATGCAAATGATCTCGGCATTCCTTCAAAAACTAAGTCGGACCAAAACAAAACACTATTTCTCATCCGGGAAACATAAATGGGACCAACCAGGTCTTGGCCGAGCCCACACCTCCTTGCCGAGGTGTGGTCCCGATGGCCACATTCAAGGAAATGAAGTCGGGAAAATTTGGGTTTCCCTCTGCTGGAAGAACATGAAGAACGTGAAAAAACATGAATGCTCAATCACAATGTTATACAAATCTGGGATTTCATGAGATGAGTTCGAAAAACATGGACCTGGTACCCATACTTGAAGATCTTATGAAGACAAAACACGAAAACATAATTGATGCAAGCTTCGGATCAAACACAGGCTTTTATTCAAGAACACTCAATATCACTTTCTACTTTCTAAAACCAAACTTTAAATCAATGCATGGCTTACAAAATCGTGGTAGTCATGCAATGCAGCTAGATGAACAATAAGAACAACAAGAGTAGATCAAGATTTAACCTCAAGACACGAATCTAGCGGCTCAAGGTGTGAAGATCAAGCTTGGAAATCTATTCCCTCCTCTAAGAACTCCTCCTTCTTCTTTCTAGAGCCTCTCTCTCTAAAAGACAAGGATATGATACAAGAATGAGTGTTCTTTCAACAGCTCACTGGACTTAACCCTCTGTTGGACACGTAGGCATCGGTGGTTGCTCTTCTCAAAAGGTGACTGAGTGAAAGACAAGACTATGAAAAGTGTGCTCAACAAGCAAGATGGCATAGGCACTCGGCAGGTAATGATCTCGGCTAAGGACAAGGCTTCGGCAAGTAAGGTCTCAATGATCTCGGCTAGGAAGGACAACACTTGACTTAGCTGTGCCACACCTCGGCCTAGATGTGCCACACCTCGGTCTAGGTTTTACCAATCTCAGGAACAAGATCACTAGGTGCAAGGGTAACATCTCGGCCTAGATAATACACATCTCGGCCTTGGTGAGTAAACACCTCGGTCTAGATAGTGACATCTCGGCCAATATGCCAAGGTGTGACGTGGAGGTTAACCAAAAGATTCCAAGATAGTCCTAGGTATAAAAGATTCAAAGGTGCGACCCAGGCTTAGGATGACCTCGGCTAAACTCACACCAAGCAAGGAACAAAGCATGCAGTAACACTTAAGCAAAACAAAGACAAGATTTGAAATGCAAGCTTAACAAGACAAAATCATATAAATGCATGAGAGCATGACTAAGATGAAGTGATGTTTGTTACATATGTGAACTTGAGATCCAAATGCTTCGTTCGCGAGAAGAGGAATGTGAACTTGAGAACCAAACGCTTCCTTCGCGAGAGGAGGAATGTGAACTTGAAATCCAAATGCTTCGTTCACGGGAGGAGAAAAGTGAACTTGAGATCCAAACGCTTCATTTGCGAGAGGAGAAATGTGACTTGAAATACAAACGATACATTCGCGAGAGGAGGAATGTGAACTTGAGATCCAAACGCTTCGTTCGCGAGAGGAGGAATGTGAACTTGACATCCAAACGCTTCGTTCGTGAGAGGAGGGATGTGAACTTGAAATCCAAACGCTTCGTTCGTGAGAGAAGGAATATGAACTTGAGATCCAAACGCTTCATTCGTGAGAGGAGGGATGTGAACTTGAGATCCAAACACTTCGTTCGCGAGAGGAGAAATGTGAACTTGAGATCCAAACGCTTCGTTCGCGAGAGGAGGTGTGATAACCATGTTCTGTGTTATGCTAATTGATCTTAATTATGATTGTGATTATATGTTAATGTGATTTTGAGTGCCATTTATATGATTATATGTGGTTTTGAATTTCTATCTGTTCACCATAGAAAAATTCTTTAAACTTACTGTTGCAAACTGAAAATTGAAGGCCTTATCGGCCACAGAAACCAAAATTGACCACGCCATTGTGAGTAGTATAATTTTTGGAGCCTATGGTGAAATTTAATTGAAAAATTATTTGTATCAAAATAATTAGATTCGGAATGATTAAATTAGGCTCAATTACTTAGCCATAATCAAATTGAGAAGGCAATCCTATATAAAGGCCTATATAGCCTTATGTTATTTCCTTTTGAGCTCAAATCTGAAAATTACACTCTAAGAGAGAGAGAGAGGGACGGTTCTAGAGAGAGAGGAAGAGGAAGAATTGTGTATTTTGGCTCAAAGTTTGTGAATTTAGAAGCTACACTCAAGATTTAACCACATTTGTGAAGATTGGAGCTCTTAGGTGAGTAAATTCATGAGTTTGAGTTTGTAATTTTGTGAATTCAAAGTTAGATGGTGATGATAAACATAAATTGAGTTAATTATGATGAAATTGAAGTTGGTATGTACATGCATGAGGAGAATTGCGATGAATTTCCATAGTCTAACATGTAGCATGTCAATTATGAGAAATTGGGAGTTGAATCTTACATGGAAGTATGGTTTTGTTAAGCTTCAAGAGGATAAACATCACTTGTGTCATTTGAAGTGGTATTGGGGTCTATATTGCACATGCATGAATGATCCATAGAGATATGGAGTTGGTGTAAAGTTAGAATGCATGAGGTTTGACCATGTCAAGAAGAATGTTAAATAATTTGAGAATTAAATCATGATATTGAACAATTGGCCTCATATTGCTTACATCCTCATGATATGTAATGTATTTCCACGTTTTTGAACCAAAAACAGGAGTTTTGAACCTTTGAGTGCTAAGTTTGAGCTTCAAGAGCTAGTCTGGAAATTCCAGAATTTGGCATGTCCGCTCGAGCGGGGAAAGGGTCGCTCGAGCATGAAATGTTAGTTCCCAAAACTTTTGCAGCTATTGATGTCTGCTCGAGCGGGGAGAATCACGGTCGAGGGCCAAGCCACGTAGTTTGACTTCTAGCTCGAGCGTCCGAAGTCACGCTCGAGCATAAAAAATGAGGCAACCAGTACTCTTGCAGACAAAAGGGGTCCGCTCAAGCAGCCAAAGCTGCGCTCGAGCGGGAAGCCCTGTTTTCTAAAATTTTGAATGGACGTTTGGTGTTTCATTTTTCGTTCTTTTTCAACTCTAGGCATTCTTAGGCATGCATTGAGCATTGTGAATAGATTAAGAAGATAAAAAGAGGCCTAAGAGGATTGAATAAATCAAGAACGGATTGAATTGCTTATGACTCATTATGTGTTATGATTTATGTAGGGTCGAGCACAAAGACGGATACACCGACAGAACACTGTGAGTAATATCTTAGTAAAGATATTTTAAATTATGTATTTGTCCAATCATTTACTCTTAGTTGAGTTTATAAGTTTGGCTGAATTGTGGACAAATATCCATTTGTCATAATTGATTGAGCCAAAGGCCGTTTGTCATATTGATTGGGCCAAAGGCCATTTGTCATAATTGATTGGGCCAAAGGCTGTTGGACATAAAAGATTGGGCCACAGGCCATCGGGAATGAATGATTGGGCCAAAGGCCGTTGGATATGAATGATAGGGGCAAAGGCCGTTGGGAATGAATGAATGGGCCAAAGGTCGTCAGATATGAATGATTGGGCCAAAGGCCGTTGGGAATGAATGAATGGGCCGAAGGCCGTCGGACATGAATGATTGGGCCCAAGGCCATTTGATATGAATGAATTGGTCCTTAGGCCATTTGCCAAAGATGGAATAGGCATAAGGCCGTTTGATATATTCATTTCGAATTTCATTCATATATTGTCTTTATTCGATATTATTCACTGGGCTTTCGCTCACTCTCATTCATGTGTCTGTAGGTGAGCCAAGGGAAGTCCAAACCTAGCCTCGGTGAAGTTATGTGAGAAACAGTCGAGGTTTTGGAGAGTCAGCCCTAACGTCTCACGCACGAGACTTGTTTTTGCCTTTGGTTCTTTTGTTACATTTTGCTAATGTTGGCGAAAACATTGGTTTACCTCTGTATATAAGTTTTGTTTGGCTGACTAAGACTTGAATGATCCTGTTGTGTAAAGCTTATATGTTATTTCCCTTTTTGGTGTGGGTTATTAATGAATATATCTTTGAGATGATTTGATGTGTCATGTAAGCATAGCTTTATGGACAATTTGCAAGTTTGCTTCCGTTCGGCCTCTCTACTCTGATGAAATATGTTTTATTTGGTTTGAGGCCATAGGTAATCCCTTGATTACTGGTCGGTTATGACCTTAATCCATAGGGGCGGGTTCGGGTCATGACAGAGTGGTATCAGAGCACGAGTTATTAACTCACACACTTGCCCAAATGAGCAATTAGCATCTAGAAAAGATCTGGGATGCATTCATGTGATAAGTACGAACCTGAAAGCATTAAGAACATGTTGGAATGTTTCGAGATGAATGGTTATGTACTATATGTTTGTGATTTACTTGCATTACAACTGTTTGGATATATATGCTCTTTAGTATATGCACACTTGTGAACCTTTTGTATAAGAAATAATGCAAGTCTAATAAGATGGTCAGAACAAGAGGTGATGAAATAGAGGAGTCTTCTACTGCCAGAATGGATAGAATGGAGAGACTGATTCAGGAAATGGCAGAAACGTTGAGGCAACAATAGCAGTGGCAACAGCCACATCCTTCGCCTCCTCCTCCAGTGCCACCTGTTCAAGATATTCAAAGTGATGACCAAATAATTGCCCTCACCAAAGAGTTTAAGAAAATGAAACCGCCACAGTTCCACAGGGGATTGGATCCGCTACAGGCTGAAGCATGGGTCCTCGGCATAGAAAAACTGGTTGGGGTATTTCCTTGCTCAGAAACACAGAAGGTGCTCCAAGCCACTTTTACTCTTGAAGATGAAGCAAGAAGGTGGTGGATGCTAATGCGTGAAAACAATAAAGATATTGGATGGGCACGGTTCTTGGAAATTTTCTATGACAAATACTTTCCACAATGTGTTCGTGATAGAAAGGTGTCAAAATTTATGGAACTTAAACAGAACAGCATGACAGTAGCAGAGTATGAGGCCAAGTTCACTGAATTGGCCAGGTTTACACCACATGTGGTCAACACCGACTATAAGAAAGTGAGACATTTTGAAGGAGGCCTTCAAGATGATATCCTAGAGAGGGTAAATGTTCTCATGCTGGAAACCTACATTGAGGTGCTGGACCGGGCCATAATATCGAAAGCTAACATAGCAGACAGGCCAAATCAACAACTGACTGGAAAGGTAGTAAAAGGCAAGGCTTCTTTTCGAAGAAGAAATTTTCAAAGAAGCAAAATACGGGCTCCTCAAGTACTTCGAATTCTTCCCGAGATACATCTCCAATGTGCAATAGTTGTCGTAAAAGGCATCCCGGAGTTTGTTACCGTGTGTCAGGAGCTTGTTTTAAGTGTGGAAAAATGGGGCATATGGCTAAAGACTATAATCAGAACAGTGGAAAGTTAGATGCTAGCTCCACTGCATCGATCCCAAAACCAGGAAATGCTACGAGATCTACTACCACTGGAGATACCATGAGGCAAGGGAGAGTTTTTGCGCTTGTTCCGAGCGATACACGGAATGCTGCAGCCGTTGTCTCAGGTACTATCTCTATATGTAATCAGGATGCTTTTGTACTAATTAACTCTGGATCAACACGCTCCTTCGTAACTTGTGCATTTGCACCTAGACTGAGTAGACCTCTAGAACCATTGTCATATTTGCTATGTGTATGCGCTCCATCCGGGGAATCTGTATTGTTTGAATCTGTATATCGTTTTTGTGACATGCGTATTGGGAATGTTATTCTGCATGTAGATTTGTTGCCCTTGAACTTTAAGCACTTTGATATAATTCTGGGCATTGATTGGTTAACTAAATATTGTGTCACCATTGATTGTGTAACAAAACGGGTTGTGTTTAAACCACCGGAACAGGAAGAAATTGTGTTTGTGGGTAACGGGATAGTGCCTCCACCTTACTTAATATCTGCAATGAAAGCATGTAAATTGATCAGGAAAGGGTGCCTGGGTTATTTGTGTTGCGTGTTATCTGAACAAACTGTGAATGTAGAATTGAATAGTATCCCTATTGTTAGCGAGTTTCCAGATGTATTCCCGGATGAATTGCCAGGGGAATTAGTTGACAGGGAAATAGAGTTCACCATTGAAATTGTGCCCGGCACTCAGCCTATTTCCAAAACTCCCTACAGAATGGCTACTGCTGAAATGAAAGAA